GCCTTTATCCCTAAGAAAAGAAGCTCAAAGGTTCGCTTGCGAGGCTGAACTTCGCCTGAAGTTCGCCTGCAAAGGTTTAAGTTCACCTAAATACTTGACTCCGTTGACAAAACCAAGTTCACTTGTTCACCTGATTGACTTATGCAGAGTTAAGTTCGCCTAAACGGATCAAGCTTCGCCAGAATGGCTCATGCGAAGTTAAGTTCACCTAAACACTTAACTCCGCCTACAAGGTCCGCCTACGTGCTCTAGCTCGCCTGCAAGCTTGCCAAGTCTTCCTACAGCATCAAGTTTGCCTACACTGCTTGACCAAGTCAGCCACTAATGCTTAAAATGTGGAAGCGGTTGCGCCCACTTCCCACATTCATAGGAGGCGGTTACACACCATTCTCCTCTATAAATAGCCACTAATTAGCTACCAAAAAAGGAGAAGAAGGAGGAGGGGAGCAATGAGGGAATTGTGCATTCGGCCTTCAAACTCTAGCTCAGGTACTCGAACTCTAAAAAACAAAACTTCTACCACACGAGGAAGTTTTTTGACAACTTTGTTCAGTCGTCAATGGGAAGCAAACTCGACTCAAGCATTGAGTAACACATCCTTTCACCCCAAAAGATCCCACGTTAAACAAAAGAGAGATCAGATCTATTCTCTCTTATTCTGTGTAAAAGAGATTTCTATTTTGTAATAACGTTAAACAAAAGAGAGATCAGATCTATTCTCTCTTATTCTGTGTAAAAGAGATTTCTATTTTGTAATACACAATTCAATCAATACAAATTCAACTATTCTCTCTTATTCTGTGTAAAAGAGATTTCTATTTTGTAATACACAATTCAATCAATACAAATTCAAAATCATCTTTTACGACCTACAACCATGAGCCCTCAATCCACATTTATAGCGTCCAAGACCTTGGAACTAGGCTTTGCTACGGTGTTTTTTTGGGTTTCGAATTTTGGTAAATGGATAAGATTACCCAAACTTCTTACTTAAATATTTTATCCACTAGTGAGTGGTAAGAATACCTAAAGTGTTCTCACCATTAATCCAAAAAATTCTCATCCCAAGCCAAACTAAAAAATAAGAATTAGAGGGTTTCTATAAAATTAGATTCTATATTTTTATGCTATGAAATAAACATAGAAAGATAAAATATAGGATTCTATAATATTACATAACAACATAAAATTGTCCTTAATTTTTTTATTGATTAGAAAAGAATCCATAAAAAAACCTACATAAATACTATTCTTGCTAGTTGTTGAACCGAACTAGGGGTGTCCAAAAAGCCCGGAGCCCGGGCCCGGCCCGGGTCCGGCCCGGTCGTGCCCGGGCCCGGACCCGGCCCGGGCCCGGAAACCCGGGCAAAACCCGGGTCCGGGCCCGGGCCCGGGTCGCCGTTGGCGAGCCACGTCCGGGCCCGGCCCGGGCCCGGAACAGTGCCCAAAAATGGGCACTGGGCTTCGAATGGCCGGCCCGGCCCGGCCAAAACGGTCACAGACGTGACCGTTGCCCGGTCCGGCCCGGGCCAAATCTGGCCTAACGGTCAGATTTGGCCTTTTGACCGTTTTGCCCCTTAAAACGGTCAAAAAACGGCTATTTTTCGAGGGTTTTTTGGTCATTTACCTAGGGGGCTGCTTCTATAAATAGAGGGGGGGTTTCAATTCATTTTCTCACAACAAAACTCATCTATTTCTCTCTCTACTACTCTCTTATACAATCTTATACTATCTCATACTAATATACTATCCTATAATCTTTTGTATTTTCTAATACTTCCAACAAATGGCTTCTGGGTCTGATTATGAAGAGCAACATGCAACTCCTACCGATCCAGAGATGAGTCCTCCTACAACAACTCCTCATCCTACCGGTGTTAATCCTGAATCTGGTGGCGACGAATCTACGGCACCAAGAGCTCCAAAAAGGCCGAGGTCTGATGTATGGAATTTTTTTGAGAAGATAGACGTCACCAAGGATGAACACGGTAGGATCATCTCTCAGAATGCGAAATGTGCGTTGTGCGGCCAGATATTCAAAGCTCATCATAAGAGCGGCACCAACCATCTCAAACGGCATATTGAAAAACACAACAAAGGCCAAAATCTACAAGGTGATATCCGGCAGTCTATGCTTTCCCAATCATCCTCTTCAGGTACCCTCGGCAGTTGGAATTATGACGCTGCCCGAGCCCGGAAATGCGTAATCAGGTTTATTGTTCTTAAAAACCTTCCTTTTAAATTAGTAGAAGATGATGAATTTGAAGATTTGTTTAGAGATGGTTTTTATCCTGCATTTACAAAATTTTCTCGTCAAACCTGTCAACGTGATATTTTAAAATATTATGTTGAGGAACAGGGAAAAATAATTTCTTATTTTAAAAATTTAAACTGCAAATTTTCTTTAACTTCTGATATTTGGTCATCTAGAGTGCAAACTGGTTATTTATGTATAACAGCACACTGGATTGATGAAAGTTGGAAAATGTTTAAAAGAGTTGTTTCTTTTATTGCAATTGAAGAGTCACACACTGGTATTAATGTTGCAAATTTAATTGTTGAAGAACTTATGAAACTAGAAATTGATCAAAGAATATTTACTCTTTCACTAGATAATGCAAGTAATAATAATGTAGCTGTTGATTTTCTGAAAATAACTTTGTCATTGCCATGTCATGGTGAGCTTTTTCATGTTAGATGTATCTGTCATATTTTAAATTTAATTGTTCAAAGTGCATTTTCTGAAATTAAACCCATGATAGAAAAAGTTAGAACAGTTACTAATATGCATAATGCTTCTGAAATGAGAATTAAAAGATGGAAACAATGTTGTAAAAGAAAAAATTATAAGCCTAGACTAATTCCAAAAGATGTTGACCATAGGTGGAATTCCACATATGCAATGTTATCTGTAGCAATAGAATATAAAGAAATTATAAATGATTTTATAAATTTTTATGCTTCTAGTTCTAGCTCTGGTAGTGCTTATGGAATAACTGAAGATGAATGGACAGTTATATGTAAATTAAATGAGATGTTACAAGTTTTTTATGATGCTACTATGTTATTATCTGGTTGTTATTATCCAACTATTACTTTAGCTGCTTTACAAATTTTAAATATTCAAAAAAAATTTACAAAATATCGTATGGATGATATTTTTGGAAATATAATTTTTCAAATGGAGAGTAAATTTAATAAGTATTTTAGGCCTATTCCTCATATTTTTGGTATTGGTGTTCTTATTGATCCATGCTTGAAGGAAATTGGCCTTCGAAGTTTGTTACAATCATTGTATGGTGGACAGATTATAGACTTAGATGATGGATCCACCCTTACTAGGGGTGAGCACGGTTCGGTTCAAACAGAAAAAACCGACCGAACCGACCCGAAAAAAGCGGTTTTATGGGTAAGGTGGTTCGGGTCTTTTCAAACCGACCCGACCCGAACCAACCGAATATATTCCCCTGCCTCAAACCCTACCCGTTTACCCAAAGACAAAGCAAGTCCGTTACTAAAAAATTACAACGTCAGAGTCTAGTATTTAATCCAAAAGGACAAGTTACTTCACTTAAAAACAGAATACATACATGAGCAAGAATAATAAATTGAAGTAAAGTTAAAAAATAAATACATGCTAGCATAGGGTAATAAGAATATATAAAAGATAAATTGAAGTGATGTTATACTTGATGAAGTTAGAACCGAACAAACCGAACCGAACAAACCGAACCGATTTGCAATGGTTCGGTTCGGTTTTGAATTGTAGGTGGTTCGGTTCGGTTGTTCAAATTTTGGTAAAAACCGACCCGAACCGAACCGTGCTCACCCCTAACCCTTACTGCTACTACTCATTATTTAGCTAATAGAAATTATTTTCAAACCTTATATGATGAGTATGCAGCTAGATATGGTGTAGCTACACAACAGTCTTCAGCTTCGGCACCTTCAGCTTCGAGCACAGGTCGAGGTAAAAGTGTAAGTTTTGATAGGTATGCAATGGTAGCTGAACTAACTGGTGGATCTGGAACTTCATCAGGATTAGATGTTTCTGAAATAGATGAATATTTTTCTGCTTCTTTAGTTAGATGTCAAGGAAATGCTTTAGATATTTTGCAATGGTGGAAAGTATATGGATCAGTTTCATATCCTATACTTTCCACCATGGTTCGTGACTTACTATCAGTGCAGGTTTCGACTGTAGCCTCGGAATCCGCTTTCAGCACAGCAGGACGTTTGATCGACGACCACAGGACATGCTTAGATCCGTATACTGTACAAGCGGTGATGTGCTTACAGGATTGGTGGAGATACGAGAAGCGAACACAAGGCATCGAACGGATTGCTATGATTGAAGATAAATTTGAAGAGTTGGGACTAGCAGATAGATATAATGATTAGATAATATTCATAAAATTGTAATTTTTATTTCTTAGCTTTAAATTTGAATTAAATTATTTCGAAAAAAGTTGCAAATGATAGTGATATGGGTGAGTAGGTGCCAACCTAGTTGGGATGTACTCATCTATTGTGATGCGACGAATTTCGAAATAAATTTATACTTGTAAAGGATTTACCGATTATTAATAAAGAAGTTATTTTTATCATTTTTTGTACTTGTAATTTATGTCATTTCATTTCAAGTTATTAATTACATTTATGACATTTTTTATAATAATTTATGATTTATGGTTTTGTTAAAATAATTTATGATTTATGGTTTTGTTAAAATTTTTAAAAAATAAAAAAAAACAAAAAAAAAAGTTTCTTAAAAAAATCAAACCGGGCCGGCCCGGTGTCCGGCCCGTTCAGGCCCGGGCCCGGCCCGGACCACCCGGGCCCGGGTCCGGGCTTGGGTTTTGCCCGGCCCAGGCCCGATTTCCCGGGCCGGGCCGGGCCGGGCCCGGATGGACAGCCCTAAACCGAACACCCCCCGAAACTCAAAAAGTTCGCTTATCCTCACCTGTTAAGGGACCCACCTAGACTCATTCCTCATTCATTTCGCCCTCATCATTACCAACGCTCTCACAAAAAAGAGGGAAAAAAGCCACCTCAGCTCTCCTCCTCCATCAGAAGCCCCGCTCCAAGTTCGGAGCTCCGATAAGAGATCAAGAGAACGGGATCCGAGATCTCACCACCTTCGATATGGACGTACTTGCACTCAATCTCAAGAGCGGAAGCCTCTTTCTCGGGACGAAGTCGGTGAGGGCGCTAGAAGATGAGAGAATTAGGGTTTCGGAGGTTGTGGTTCGGAGAGTCTCGTTCGGATACCGATCCCTTGTGGTCAAGGCTACGGGAAAGAAGAAGAATCACGGTAATCCCTCCTCTTTTGTTAATATTATTCTGTTTTTAATGTTAATTTGAATTTATGGAGTGGATCTCTGTTCTTTTGTTGTGATTGCGTGTAATTACCAGGGAATTTGCCATTTTGTTTACGGTGAACTTCGTGCTTATAATTGATAGGTTTAGAATTGGAAGATGGACAAATGCTTTGAGAATTGGTTGAATTAAAGAAAAAGAAGAAATTTTCTAAATAAACCCATTCATATTTTTTTTTTCTAAAAATAGACCCCATTGAGTTTTATTTACAAAAATAGACCCATTTTATCTTAATCCGGTTCCTAAATATTCGGGTTGCCAACACCGACTATTTAGGAGGTTGTAAACCCTCAATTATAACCTTAAACCCTAACATTCTATGCACTAAATAGTCGGGGTTGGCAACCTCAACTATTTAGAAACCGGATTAAGACAAACTAGGTCGATTTTTGTAAAAAAAAACTCAAGGGGGTCTATTTTTAGAAAAAAAATATGAATGGGTTTGTTTGGAAAATTTCTTCTAAAGAAAAATCAAAGAAACTTATGAACTGAGTTTTCATTCTTTTTTTTCCTTGGACTTTGCATATGGTTTATGTTGTGGAATTGAAGCGTAGATTAGTTTATTTATTTTTGGGAAGAAAATTGTTTGGGTGATTTTTGGCTTAAGTTGGTTCATGCTTTGATTGTTTGATGAGTTCATACAATGGGTGCTGTTTTGTCGTCATTGGTGTTGGCATTGGGGATTAGTGAGGAATTTTGAACTTTTTGATCTTTGGCGTTGGATTTCTGATTTTTGTTATTGTGTGTTGATTTATGAGGATGATATGGAGGTGCTAAGTTCTTGGTTGGTTAAGAAGAGTGGTGGGGTGGTGTTAGGTTTGACCAATTTCGAGATTAGTGTGCAAGACATTGTTCTGTTTGTTTGGTGAAGCTTATACTATGGGTTCATTTGGTAGCTTTGAGATTGGCTTGGGCGAGAATTGTTTTCTTGATTCAGGTGGAGATTATTCTATAAGTTTGGTTGAGACTTTTCTGTTGGTTTAGGTTTGTTTGGAGATTGATTTTGGGCGAATATTCTCTTCGTTTGTATTTTTAGGGGTCACTGCAGTGAAGATTGTTTTGTTGATGTCTTTGGAGATTGGTCTAGGGCCTGTCTGGATGACTATAAGTACTATAAGTACTAAAAGTAAGAAGTAGATCAAAGAGGTTATTTCAAAACTTATGAAGTAGGAAGTAGCGAAAGTAGTATTTTTTTACTTGTTTCACATATTTTTAAAAGTAGTGGATGTACACTTCTTTCTTTTTATTTACTTTTTGTTTGGATAACATTTAAAAATAACATTAGGAAGAGAGAGAGAAGATCTTTTGAGTTTTTGTTTAGTGAGAATTATCCACGTAATAAAAAACTACTTTGATTCATATAGTAGTGCATATTTCATCTACTTCTGAGCCTTGAAGAAGTAGTGATGGCATATAGGCGTCACATCACATTTAAGAAAGTACTAGATGTAGCTTTCTCCGAGTAACAAACATACGTTTTTGCTTAGAAGTAGCAAAAGTAGCATCTATTTTTTTTGCTCAGAAGTAGCCTCTACTTTTACTTCAATTACTTCATCTCTTTTTCCGAGCAAACAGATGGGCCCTTAGTGAAAGATTGTTCTATTGGTTCATTTGGAGAGTTCAGCCATCTCACTCAGATGGGTTCTAGTGAAGATTTTACTGTTTGCCCATTTGGTATGTTTGGAATTTGATTACGGATAGGATGGTTTTGATTATATATTTAGGGCATTGTGGAAGTTCATCACAAATCATTGTCTCTGATTCCACATTATCTTAAGTGGCTTTTGGGGTGGCGCATGCTGTGTTCTTGTCTTTTAAAGGAGACGCGAGGGACATGACTTGTGTCCCATTACAGCTTATATCAGGAACACTTTTGCCTTCTTCCTTTTTGTTTGAGTTCTCTAACTTATAATGGCAGCTTGGAGGTCATGAGTATGTTGCTTGAGGTACTAACTTGTCAAGTAGATCTAGTTAATAGCCAGTTGCCTTTCTATGGCATAAGTAAGAAGTGACTTTTGCCTAATGTTTTCTTGCCTCAAAATTGACATGCTACTGCTATGCATCTGTAGGTTTAACTTAATGTGTGCCCTCTTGACAAGTCATGAAATTCTTACCCTCTCAAATAATTCCTCCCCTCCTTCTAAGCCTCGCTTTTGGCAGCACATACACAAGATGATCTTAGATATCCTTCAAGTCATTCGCCAAAAAGAAAAAAAAGCCCTTCTAGCCCAAAGTTTCTGGTAGTGTTGAATAAATGTTCAATTACACACCAGTCATAAGGATAGAACTTGTAAATTGAAGTTATGTTTGGTCATTGAGCTGCTTCCTTTTTCTGCTTTAGACTATATTTTCACCAACTGCTGAAATAGGTTACACTTTCTTGTTGCTCAGACATCATCTGGTCTTTCCTGCTTCTTTTCCTTTTTCTCAATCATCATCTGACCCGAAAGAGAGTCAAGAGACAATCAGTCCTCATAACTTGACCGGTGGAGGGCATTGTAGATGATTCTCACTAGGACTTTAGTCTGGACTTTCAGAGAGAATTGAAAAGAAAGAAAGTAGAGGGGGTTACCTTAGATGACCTGGATATTTATATTTTTAGAGTAAGAGATACAAGATAGCTATATGATGATTGATGAAACTATGCCATGTGAACATGGTTGTGACAAACCTAAGGGTCCTCCAACTTCTGGAACTTCTGGGGACAACTTAAATATTTAAAAGATTAAACATGCTCGATATGTAAGCTCCTTTAGTTAGCTCCTTCCCGATCTGAGATTGTGCAAAATGAATATCAGGCAAAGAAGACATGAACTGGGCAGGTGGAATGTGTTCTCTGTCAAGGTATAGCTTTTTTACACCGGAATTTGCCCTACTTGTACTTCTGTTAATACCTATCTCTTGACTTGTCAAGGATGTGCATGTGGATGATTTACGGTGGTATTTTATAATGTTTTCAATGTCATATTATATTTGTCATGGATGACATCATGATATTCACCAAATACCAGTAATGTATAGATATTGATATTAGCACTTCATTTAGGAAAATTAGTTTTTTTTATGTACATTTTTCATCAATCGTCTTATAAGACGATTGAAGAAACTATGCCATGTCAACATGGTTGTACCAAACTAGTTTCGTTGAAGCTAGTTGTTTAGATATCATTACTATAATCCCCTCTAAGGCCTACGTAAGGTATCTATGATAAGAAAGAAAATAGTGGCAGAATCAAAAGGAGCCAATCGGGAGATGTTACTTTAGATGATGATCTAGATATTTATAGAGTAAGCTATACCGGATACCTATAAGATGATTGAAGAAACTATGCCATGTTAACGTGGTTATACCAAGCCTAGGAATCTTCCAACTCCTAGAAATTCTGGGAATAGAACTTAAACATTTAAAAGATGAAACAAAATCTCTATGGAATCTCTTCTTGTTATCTTCTTATAGAGCTGAGATTGTGCAAAATGGATATCAGGCGAAGAAGAAACGAGCTGAACAGGTGGAATGTGTTGTCTGTCCAGATCCAGCTTGAATTTACACTTGAACTGAGTCCTACTTCTGTTAGGACCTAACTCTGGATTGTGAAGTACGTACTCATGTATTATTTGCTTTGGTATAAAATTTTTCATCTCTTTTTTATGTTTGCCACGGATGATCTTCTGATACTTATCCAATTCTTACAGTGACTGCGTTGTCCCTATGTATAGATGTTGGTATTAAACACTTCATCCAGGGTAGCTAGTTATATTTTCATATACATTTTTCATCTATTGTCTTATGTGGAGAAACTATGCCTCCTCAACATGGTTGTACTAAGCTAATGTTTATGTTAGTTTTATCATGTTAGTGTTGTAGTGTTATAACTCTGTATGAGGCCTAGTTAATGTATCCATGAAAAGAAGGAATAGAGGAAGAACCAAAAGGAATCACTGGTGAGACGTTGCTTTAGACGATGGCCTGGATATTTATAGAGTGAGATATACAAGATAACTATAAGACGATTCAAGAAACTATGTCATGTCAACAAGGTTGTACCAAGCCTAAGAATCCTCCAACTTCTCGAAATTTTGAGAACAGAACTTAAATGTTTAAGATGTGAAACAATCTTTATCTGAAATCTCTTGTAGTTATCTTCTTAATGAGCCAAGATTATGCAAACTGGATATTAGGCATATAAGGCATGAGCTTAACAGATGGAAAGTGTGTCTGTCCAGGTTCATCTTGAATTTATGCTCAAATTGAGTATCACTTCTGTTAGGACCTAAATCTGAACTTGTGAAGGACGTGCATTTGGATGAGCTGTAGTGGTATGTTATTTTATTTTTTGTCATATTATATTTGACGTGAATGATTTCGTGATACACATAAATTTCTTATCTTGACTATGTTGTGCCTCTGTATAAGTATCAGTATTTTCTCTTTGTCCTGGGAAGCTAGTTTTATTTTCACGTTCATTTTTAATCATCTCAAAACATCACAATTATGCCACTCCGTAACTATTTTCTATTTGCCATATAGGCTTAGCCAAATGTTCTCTGCAAGTTAATTAATTCCGTGAGTTTCATAAACATATTCTCAGTTTCTTAAACGTACATTTAAATCAAAGTCAACATGGTAGTTATTATCCGCTTATCTGTTAGCTTCTCTGTACTCAAGCCTTATTGTTCTTTCTCCATTGCGTCTGCTGTCTGCCTTTTACTCTGTTTCTTAATTATTTTTTTCGTGCAGTTTGTAACTTTTCTGCTTGCTCCTGTTTCAACAATTTACCTTCTTGACCTCCCAATGCGCTGATATTATATTGAGTGATGCTAGATATATGACTCATAAATGTGGTATCTATATGTGCACGCGCGTGCATGCGTGTGTTTTCTCATTGGTTAGTAGGCCAATTGCATTGCTATGCAGTTCTTTTCGATATAAAGGTAACTCTTTGTTAGTACAACTTGTGGGATAGATCTATTGTCAAATTTGCACCAGCAAAAAAGAAAAAAAAAAGAAAGTTACCCTGTGTAGGATTTTCCTGAAAGCAGCTTTATCACATGAAGAGCTATAGGCTTGTGCGAGGTGTTTTAGCACTTAATAGTCATAATCGACTACTCTTGGATATGGAAAAAATTGTTTACAAGAAAATGTCTCTTTCAATCACGAATACACAATTAATCCTTGGTGTTTGATGCTTATTACATCATGGTTGTCGTCTTGTTGCTTTACTAGCTTAACTGAGAACTATTTAAAGATATCTGAAAATTTTATCTTTCAGTGTTGGTCATTGTGCTATTGAAAGCTTTGTTTCTCTGTCCCGTTGCTTTTAATATTTGGAATATATATATAATTTTTATTTCTCAATAATTTGCTTGCATGCAATGTATTAGATGGAAATCCATAGTGCTGGCTTTTTCTGAATGGTTTTGAATTGCAGGAAACGACGACCCCTCAGTTCCTGAAGGAGACAGTCCTGAAAGCGTAAATCCAGCATCTGACGAATTGAAATCTGATGCTTCTACTCCCAAGTCCCAGCATCCATTGCTTGATTGGCGAGATTTCAGGGCAAATCTTGTGATTCGTAAACATGTGAGTTGACTAAAAAATGTAAAGATGCATAAGCCATCTATATATTAGCTACAAAACTACTTAGGCATGGTAGTAATTTCAATGTATAACCTAGGTCTGAAGATCTTCTGCCTGAATGGAAAACTCCTGACTTTTCATTCATATTCCTGCTCTCTTTCATTTCTTGCAATAACTGTACTGATAGATTCATCATTGTATAATAAGTAGTTTTATCTGTACTACAGTTATGTCATGAAAAAGGGATTCCTTTATATCTCATTGCTGATTTAAAGAAAAGGTAGTTGCTCCCCCATGTTTTTTTATTCAGTCGAGTGCAAGGTAGTAACAAATAGGTAGTACAATTAACATTTCTCTCGTGTTGTTTATGACAGTATAATCATTTTTTTCCATATCATCAAATCCAACAATATCTTTTCTGTATTGGCATTACAATCATCTCATCGTATCATCAAATTCGTCATCTTTATGTAACCATTAAGATAGAAACTGCTACAATTTTATTTCACGCAATACTAACTTCTTTATTTCTGTTATCCATCAAGGTGTAAGTACTATCAGCTGAATTACCATGACAAAATCTAACTTGTTGTAAATCCCCAATACAGACCTTTTGATGAATATTTTTCTTGTCTCAAATTTTCACACAGGAATTGCTAGATTCTGCGGATTCTCCTGATGGAGCAGTCTCCCACAAGCCACCATCTCAAAAGCTGGGTCTAAAGTGGGCACACCCTATTCCCGTCCCTGAACCTGGATGTGTCCTGGTTGCCACTGAGAGGCTCGATGGTGTGCGCAGCTTTGAGAGGACTGTTGTGCTTCTCCTTCGATTAGGAACCCGGGACCCAAGGGAGGGTCCTTTTGGGGTCATTATCAACCGTCCTCTCCACAAGAAGATCAAGCACATGAACCCCTCCAACACTGAGCTTGCCACTACCTTCTCTGACTGCGCTCTTCACTTTGGTGGCCCTCTTGACACAAGCATGTTTCTTATAAAAACCAGTGAGAGTTCCTCTTTACCGGGCTTTGAACAAGTAGTCCCAGGCATCTGTTTTGGTTCTAGAAATAGCTTAGACGAAGCTGCTGAACTCGTGAAGAAAGGGATGCTGAGGGCTGAGGATTTTAGGTTTTTTGTTGGATATGCAGGGTGGCAATTGGATCAACTTAAAGAAGAAATAGCTCAAGATTATTGGGTTGTTGCTGCCTGTAGCTCTCATTTAATTGGTGGAGGTGCATCAGTGGATGATTCATCTGGGCTGTGGGAGGAGATTCTGCAGTTAATGGGAGGACAGTACTCTGAACTAAGCCGAAAGCCAAAGAAAGATAGCTCTTGAATGGGTCCTAAATTGCTTGTACAGGAAGTTGAGTTTAATAAGGAATAATACTTTGTTTATTAGAGTCCTAATCTAACTTAATTGTATGTAGCACCTATTTATTTTACCTTGATAAAGATGTTTTTAGACGGTTCAATCCTAGTTTTAGTTAATTGAATGTAGCATCCATCAATTTTTCCTTCTCTCTGTATACGTACCTAAACTAAGTCATAGTTATTTGCGAAGTTCATGTGGCCAGGAATTAGGTGACCTCTTAAGTGCAGTATCATACTGTCTTTTTAATTTTTGTAGCCCTTGACGTCATATTGTTGTTAATTTCTTTTATTATAGCATTGCATATATTCCACAAATATGCTGAAAACTAATCAGCATATATTTTCTCCCCCTCTTTGTTAAGCAAAAACTTTTGGGGTTGAGTATGAAGGCCTGTCGGTAAGTTAACATAGCAGATAGAATAAACAGGGGAGTAAATACTAAACTGAATAGCTGAAGCAAACATATAATATCAGATTAAGAAAAACAAAGTAGCATGCCATGACCAATGCACAACAAGACAAGCGAGCTATACATGCAGCTGCCACAAAAGTAGGTTAATATGTGGCTGCCACAAAAGTAAGTTAATACAGAACATAATTTAACATCCTGTTCTGGTTAAACCTAGAGCAGAAAGAGAGATGGGAGCAAAGGAAGGATATGACAAGACTACGAGTCTTTTTCCCACTTCGCAAGGGAAGGTATCAGTAGTTGGACTCTCTAGAGGATGTTTTAATTAGACTCCCCTCAGCCGTGACTTGCTCGGCTGTCTTAGAGCCGATGTTCCGAAGATCATCTCCAAGATGTTCTGGTTCAGTAAATGCTTTGATGAGTGATTGGTGGACGCTATGCTCTTTCTTTTGCTCATTTTCTTCCCTTTTTTTCTTCCTTTTATGCTATTACTTCTCTTCATGTTTTCAGGTTCTTTCATCATGCGCAGGCAACTTGATAAGATCAATTTCATAGGATTCTTTTGCAACCTCCTCTGACTTGTTTTTCTCACCCATCTTTCTCTTCCCTCACCTTCCAACCTCAGTCACGATATCCAAACACCTTGGTGAGTGGACAGGAAACCCCGTACTTGCCTTTTGCTTCTTTAAATTGGTGGGATATGAGATATGGGATGTTTACTTGCTTATTAGTTGTTTAGGGATGATATATTAATGAGGCAATATCCATCTTTACTACATTATGATATTCCGCCTGGGCAATGGTATTTTTCTATATATCCCACATGCATCTTTGAAGTCACCTTTAGTTAGGGGTTCCATCAGTGCGAGGCATCTCTTTTCCGAAGAGAATGTTCATGGCTTACTCCTGTCCCACTTCAACTCAGAGAATGTTCATGCATGGCTTACTCCTATCCCACTTCAACTCAGAGAATGGACTATATATTACGATCTCTCCTTCGTTAGGCAAGTCAATTCACTACTGAAGGTTCCGTACAATCTAACCTTACACTCTTTAACTTCAGAAAACACAGATCGATCAAATAGATTTCCAATCTTGTTGGCATAACACTTGTCTAGGGTAGAGTCGTTCTATTTTGAAGTGTTTTATGTACGTTACCATCTTCGCTGAAATTAACTTCCGGAAAGTTGAGATCTAGGAGCCACCTTAGTAGAGGCAAAGGTCTCCTCTCGATTACCCATTGCCTTCGTATTGCAGATAGTATTAAATCACCCTAAAAGATTTTTTTTTTGTGCTTGTTTGTTTATTTGTTTTTTTTGGGGGTTTTCTTTAAAATTTAACATTTTCTCATTTACTTGTATATAATTATTCTCAATCAATTATTTAAAATAAGTTAAACAATTTCCACAACGCAATTGTAGTATATAACTTGCAACTCATATAAGAATATTAAATGCAGAAGTGTAAAGAAGCAAGTTTAGAAATCACCACAGAAAAATACAAACCATAAACACAAAGATTTAAGTGGTTCTGAAAATTTGTCTACATTAATTTTTCATGCCAGAAAATTTAGTCCCTGATTAGGGGTGACAATTGTACAAGGTCCTCTTAGTTCATTTTTCTTAATGGATCGACGTGCGTACGTCAGAGTCATTGACTTGCCCTAGGTCGGCTATGATTTCTCGCATTGTCCATTGCAATCACCTCACAATCTCTCTAAAGAACCAACAGCTATGGGTCAGCTATGACTTGTCAAAATTGTCCATTACAATCACCTCACAAATGTTAGAACAATGTTCAGGGTGTAACGATGTTCATACAATATCTCTTGTTTGATTAATAAAAACTCTCCTTTGGTACTAATTAGTTTGTGAGATGACATATTTCAAGAATAACCATGTACAAACAAGTTGCGACTAGAAACAATGCAAAAATTAACACAAGAGTTGATTTCAGCCTATTAACCATCGACAGTCTCGAGGCACCATCGATGGTCGAACAATTCATCGATGGACTACAGTCAACAATCCAGATTTTTCAAAAATAAGAAATCGAACCATCGCTGGACTGCAGTCAACCATCAATGGTCTCTTCAATCATCGATGAACTACAGTCAACAATCAGCAAATTTTAGAAACTGGAATTTGGATAATCGATGGACTACAAGGCACCAACGATGATCATAAATGGACTATCCATGATCGAGTTTAACCATTGATTATTTGGACGCGTGTTGGCAGATTTCAGGATACTATCTCAGCTATTTGTTGACAGATTTGATCTGCTATTGGAACTCTAATTAGAGACTGATAATGGAGGTAAATAAAATAAAGTTGTAAGTTGTAAAACCCCGTGAATTTAAATATTATGTGATAAATAATAATAAATATGTTATATGGTGATAAACAACATATTTTGGTGCTTGAGTAGACAGATTTGATCTGCTATTGGAACTCTAATTAGAGACTGATAATGGAGGTAAATAAAATAAAGTTGTAAGTTGTAAAACCCCGTGAATTTAAATATTATGTGATAAATAATAATAAATATGTTATATGGTGATAAACAACATATTTTGGTGCTTGAGTA